GCGTTCCGGTTGCAGAGTCAGCATAAGCAGTGTTGGCAGCGTCGGCGGCGGACGAGGTCAGGGGTCGAAAGGAGGCAGGAATGGAGGGGTGCTCTTCACTCGACGGTCCGGCGTAACTGGTCTGAGTCCTCATGAGGCGAGCGGTCAACGAGGAGCCGGCGGAAGCTGCAGCATCCGTTCTCCAATCCGCCCCGTCCGAGTCGGAGATGGAGGTGGAGGCAGCAGAATTGGCCAGAAAGGTCTTACCTTCCAGAGTGGCCTCCCAAGGGAGTCCGGAGCCGTCGCCGCCCAGATAAATAAGACGATAGCGTGAATCGGCTTTAGAGGTAGATGTAAACACAGAAAAGCATACAATGTGGGGCGAAAATACTTCCCATACAATATAAAAATGAAGTGGTTGTTGCAATCTTGTTTTGATCTATCGAGTTGGTACATTCCCAGACATCATCAGTTAAATGCGATATCCCTACCACTATTTTTTTTCAAAGACATGAACAATTTTTCTATCTGCACTTGTCAGTATCTTCGGATTTTGCAATAGCTTCCAAGGCCGTAAGACATATTCACCTCCGCCGCCTGCTTGGTATCCCGTCTACAGGCCTTCCAAGACCCTGATTCAATCTTCATTTCAAAAGCTCCGTTAAATGCTGCCTTGCTCCTTATCTTATTGTATAAATGTACATGTATTTTCCAATTCACGATCTGATAAAGGACATAATCAAGAAAAGTATGTTCGAATAAAAAGTTTGGCTTCGAGACTATCAGCAAATCCGATATAAGAGATATATATTCACCATTTTTAGTTTAAAGTGATGAAGAAATGGTAGTTTGATAATCCCAAGACCATCTTAACCCTTCTGACTGCCCTAGTATGCACATGAGAGTCTGGTATTCCAATAACTGACAAGCATAGAGCAAACCTAGTTTTTAGATGGTTCATGAAAATGTCTTCCACGAAGCAAGTGAAGTATAGTTGGATTGAGTCTGGTTGTAAGGATTAGAGCCAATGTCATTATCTGCAACGCTGGCGTTAGTAACAGGCTTTTTGTCAACTATTGTGTGGCTTAATTATGTTGATTGCATCAGTTTGGAACTGTGTTATTGGATTATAGACGAATTTGTGTAGTATGAATCGAAAAGGTCTGAGTTTGCAATTAATTGCACCATTTTATGCATTTCTTAAAGCCATTCTCATTCAGACAGACTTACAATTTCGTCATATTATAAATCCAAACAGTACGCGAAAGCTAATTATGCACATCATTTGGCATGCATAGTACCCCTCCACACTGTCATGGCAATGTAAAGTCTTCTCCTTATTTTCAGATAATTCATTCATTTTTCCTTTAATCAGCCTAAACTACTGAGTTTCCCACTAAATTTTACTTTTTCATGCTTGCCAAAATGTACTCTCATCCAGGCAACAGTATACTGCAGATTCGCTTTCGCTTTAACCGATCTTTTCAGCACCATCAGCGAGACTCAAACCTAGGCCACGATAGGGCAGGGTATACTCTCGACACGGTAACCACTACGCCACTGTCACGAGTCCTCTTGTGCCACGTGTCAGAAGTGAAATTCAAGGAAGTCTAGACCATTCAGATATCAGATTTCTGTGATGGGATCTTTGATGAAAAGAACTATTAAATGATAGCTTAGCTGTCGTTCATGAGAAGGCTTTCGGGACCATCATTAGATTTCATAATCTAATTTTATTAATCCCATTTCGTTTAAGCTGATGAAGGAATGGTAATTGAATCCCATTCAGGGTGAACCACATTTAAGGTAATATTAGCACCCCTAGTAGGATATGATAGCGAGTCGTTAGTATCATGGCGAAGTAACCCCTCCACAAAATAGCCACAGGTTCCAGTAAATCACAGGACAGATGTGACATTCACGGAATGACAGGCCTCATTC